ATGTCATAGAACAGAAAAGGATGAATATATTATGAACAAAATTAAAGTGTTATTAAATGAACAGTATTATATACCAGTATTAAGATCTGAAGATAAAAGTACACAGCCAAAAATTGGTGAACCTTTCTCACCTAAGAAACCTCTAGTACTCAACACTAATATTTTATCTCCAAAGATTGAAATTCAGGCTTTTGCTGGGCCTATGAGTAAGAAAGATGCTGATGAGTTTTCAAAAAAATGGAAAAATTCTTATATAACTAATAATCATGGAAATCAATCTGCAGATTTGTCAGTAATTGATGAAAATGATTCATCTTTTGAGCAATCAAAAGATTCAGATAATTTGGTTGAAAATACTGCCAGCAGCACTCCAAAAAAGATTAATTTTGGTGCATCTTGCAAATCACCTTTAGTTCGTTTCAAACAGCAGAATTTGTTGATGAGCCCCTCTAAAGGACAAATATCACCCATTAAAGGTTCACCAATTAAGGAACACCATAATCATTTGCTTGATTTAGATAAAGGTCTGGAAAGACTTGGCCGGAAAATTGCTAGAGAAAAAGTTACTGGTTGGCTTGAATTTTGGCCATTTTTAGGAACATTTACTAATTTTGAATGCCAAAAAGGTTTAAAATTATTGGAAAATTATTTGAAACAAAGAATACAAAAGGAATATTCTCTAAATAATAATTCATATGAAAAATCACTTCGATCTGTTTCATTAGAGTTCACAGAAAATTTTTGTGCACAAGACAATATATCAAATGATTGTGTAAGTCCAATAACAGATTTATGTTTAGCTTTTGAAAATTGCCAAATTAATTCTAAATCAAGCATAAATGATCATAGCGGTTTCATTATGAACAATAGTAATCAGCTGACAGATTTTGAACATGATTTTATAATAGCATAAATAATCCGGGTTTAAATCCATTTTTATGTGTTGAAAAGAGTTGCCAAGTATTTGCTAAACGAATGTCAACTTTTTTACTTAATATTGAATTAGGTCATGCTCTGATAATGGCATCCTTAATTACAGAAATCAAACATTTGCAGAGCACAATTAAAAGTTTTTCTGACGATGTTCGGTTTGTTTCTGTTAATTTTCATTTAGTTCATTCAAGAATTGCTAAACTGGTAACAGAAAATATCTCAAATAAAGAACTGGAAAACAAATTAGAATTGAACACAATCCGAAAAATTATCAATACATTAATTGAGAATCCATACAAAAGATTTGACTCTGTGGATACTCAAAATGAATTACATATTCGCAGGAAAAAGAAAAGTGTTAAAGGAGAAAGTAGAGATCTTATTTGCATTTTATCACATATATTATCTTACTTAGTCCACGACAATAAAATGTTGAAAGCAAATACAGAAGCAAATTGCATAGAAGTATGGTCTAACGCTTCTGAATGTGGCTGTACTTGGATAAATAAAACACAACCAAAACCAAGGAATCATTTAACACGGCGTAATCATTTTAGTAGAGAATCATCATTTGATTTTTCATTGCCTAGGATGGAAAACATAGCAAGAAGATTATTTACCAAAACTGATAATACAAAAAACTTATCTGATAGTGAGCAGGACAGTGATGATGATGTTTTCGTAACACCTCCATCCAGTCCATCATTAATTTTAGATGAATCTAATTTGGAACATGTCAGTAGTGAAGATGAAATGTTTGATCTTCCAGATGACAAATTTGCAGCATTTATAGAAGGGATGGAGCCTACAAAATTGGATTTATATGTTTACCAAGCTTTAGAAGATTGTGATATAAATTCAGATGAATATCCACATATTTATCAGTGGAAACATGCTGTATCTCTATATCCAGAAATAGAACGAGAATGTTGGCCTAGCCCAGGGAAAAAAATTAAAGTAAAATTATCAGATACATCAATTTCTAGTGATTTAAATAAACAATTTAGTGCAGTTGAACAATGGACAAATATTGTTGGACCTTATTCACCTACTAATAAGTGATTTTACATTTTAAAACAAATTCATTAATTGTTAAAGATCTGGTGGCCTATGATTGCAATGTTTTATAAAAAAGAGTATTTGTGAACACAATGCCAGATATTATTTATAGAAGTTATTTTTGAATTGAAAGTGGATGTACCAAAAAAAAGTCAAGAAATCAATAGATATGCTTATTATTAAACAAGTATTTTATCATTGTTTATCTCTAAGGTATTTTATTTTTGCTTATCAAAAGTTCATAATATTAGTTATAATTAATTTAATTATTTTTATATTTAACCAATTATTCATTAGCAAAACAGTATTCATAATATCTTGATCAATGAATGTTTAATGATTTTAATTATGAGACTTATGACTTTTTAGTCGTAAGAAATGTTATTATCAAATATAGCTTTTATATGAAAGTATCAATCTGCTTACACCTTGAATTTGCTTTTTATTTATTTATGTTCATATTAAAGTAATAATTGAGACTTAATAATTCACTATATGAATATACTTATAGAATACAAATATATTTATTCAATTTTCTGTATTTAAGCAAAGGTTTCATATGTAAAATATTAAAGAACAAATATTTTTGAAAATGTAGCTTTTATTAAGATATTAAAAATATGTTATAGAAACAAAAAAAAGTTAGTGGTTAAATAAATATATAATTTGATGCGGATACGAATATATATTAAATGAACGTGTGTTTATATATTTTATATATTAAAATAGTTTAACCAATTGTATAAATGCATATATTTTTAAACAAGCTCGTGAAAAAGCATTGATTTCGACCTACTAAATGTATTGTGTATGTATTATTTTTAAATAAACAAATATTTTTGCGTGGATTTGCGCGGTGTGCTGATAAACTCATACTCATACAAGCACAACGGGCTTCGGCGTATCTATAAATAAAAAAAAAATCGCAGCTGTCAGTTCCTACAAGCAGCTGATCGAAGGGGAATTCAACTTTTTAGTATAATTTTGTTATGCATATTACTTACTTAGCCTTATAATTATAAATAAGAAAAATGCCTAATATAATTAATGAAGTGAAACTAGATTTTAAAGATGTGTTATTACGTCCAAAAAGAAGTACCTTAAAAAGTCGGAGCGAAGTAAGTCAGTTGATCTTATGTAACATAATGTGCATTTATGAATTAAATTAAAATAAAAATTATGTTTTTATGATACCTAAATTTATATTTTTTTCAGGTAAATCTTTACCGGGAAATAACTTTCAGAAATTCAAAACAAAAATACAATGGAATTCCAGTTATGGCTAGTAATATGGATACAGTAGGAACATTTGCAATGGCTTCAGCTTTAGCAAAAGTAAGGATATTCACCAGGTTTGTTTTAATCATAAATCAGACCCATATCAACCTATAAATATATATATATATATATATATATATATATATATATATATATTTATTATTTATTTATTTATCATATTACATTTATCATTATTTTATATTTCTAATAAATTCAGCCACATTTTAAAATAATAAAAAAATTACAGCATGGATTATTTACAACAATACACAAGTATTATTCGCTTGAAGACTGGAGGAATTTTGCTAAAGAAAATCCAAATGTATTACAATTTGTTGGTAGGTAGTGAATTTTGTATTATAATTATATATATATATTTTAATTATAATTGATGCAATTATTTTGAACATTAAACAGTTTTCAATGTTTCATTTAATCCGAACTATTAAATATTTTGTTATTTTATATTTATCAAAATTTTACAATGAATAAACTTTGCAGTAATAAATAGATAATAAAATTGAATTAAAATAATTGATGTTATTAATGATTTTGTTAAATTTGATTTAGCTGCAAGTTCTGGAACAGGACAAGGCGATTTTGAAAGATTATCTGATATATTAAATGAAATACCAGGCGTTACATTTATTTGTTTAGATGTTGCTAATGGGTACTCACAGCATTTTGTTGAATATGTGAGAAAAGTTCGAGCTGCATTTCCTAATCATACTATCATTGTAAGTCATTATAAGTTGCAACATTTTTTTAATTTATAAATTTAATTCTGCAATTTATCATTTAGGCAGGTAATGTTGTTACTGGAGAAATGGTGGAAGAGCTTTTACTTTCTGGAGCAGATATAATAAAGGTGCAGTTAATATAATAATACATAAAGCATTTATAAATTCCATAGAAATTACTCACATTTTGTTGGCTTATTTTACATTTTAGAGTTTTCATTTGCATGCAATTGTTTCTAGGTTGGTATTGGACCGGGTTCGGTTTGCACAACAAGGCTGAAAACAGGTGTGGGTTACCCACAATTATCTGCTGTTATTGAATGTGCTGATGCAGCACATGGCTTGAAAGGCCATATCATTTCAGTAAGTTTCATGTTATACATTTTCATGAAATTATATTCCAAAAATGTTGTTTTCTTAGGATGGAGGTTGCACTTGTCCTGGTGATTTAGCAAAAGCTTTTGGTGCAGGAGCAGATTTTGTTATGGCTGGAGGTATGTTTGCCGGGCATGATCAATGCGGAGGTGATACTTTGGAGAAAAATGGAAAAAAATACAAGCTATTCTATGGAATGAGCTCTGCAACTGCTATGGAAAAACATGCTGGTAAGTTTTGCTATAAGGATGAATATGTTTTAAAAATAATAGTAACATTTGTATTATACATTTTAAGGTGGTGTTGCAGAGTATCGAAGTTCTGAAGGCAAAACTGTTGAAATTCCATACAAAGGTGATGTAGAATCCACGATTTTAGATATGCTTGGGGGGTTAAGAAGTGCCTGTACATATACTGGAGCAGCTAAGCTTCAAGAGCTCCCTCGCAGAGCAACTTTTATTAGATGCACACAGCAATTGAATAATATATATTCATAATTTTTAAAAGTATTAGGAAACTCGCAATGAAATATTACCTGAAATACCTTAAGAGGTATTTTATCCAAAGATGCATAAATTAATATTTATTAAACCATTATAGTCTAATGTATTATCAATAAGTATTTGTTTCTGTATTTGAAAAATTTTCAAATACCTGCTGTTTCAGTTTTAAGCTCAAATGTATAAGCACAAATATACTGTTACACAATATAAGTTGTAATCATTACTTTATTATTTGTATTATATATTATGTATTATGTCAAAATAATTATTAGATTATGATAATGTAACCAAAAACTATCACAAACTATTATTTTGATTATATTTGAATTTTTCAAAGTCTCAGTTTTAATTTTTTATATCATAAATAATTACTTTCAAAACTTACTAAAATTTTGAGTTTGAGTTTTTAATCAGAATTTCATAGTTAAATGCTTGTGAAATAGTTTATTATTTAATTATATTATATATATTTTCACAGTGAAATATTTTTTATTATAAAATCGTTCATAAGTCTGTTAATTTTTGTTTTGTAGTTTTATAAATGTAGTTTCGTAGTATTTTCAAAATTCGCGGGGTTCTGCTTTGTGCGAATCAATTTTGTGATAGTAAAAATGTTCCTTGTTGTTATTGAAAGCAAAAGCGATGTGAAGTTATGAGAAAGTTATAATAATGAAAATGGCTACTGTCTAGCTTATCGTTGCGTGTAATTACATTCATTTAATTCATATATTACTTACATATAATTTATCGAATAATTACACAATGCTATGTTACCGAGAGCCTTTATACATATTAATGGTGTTAATTTTATTTTGATGGTGATACTAGGTATAATATTATTGTTAACATGGACGCAATAACTTACCAGACAGTGATGGTATTTACAAGGAACAGAGATAAGAATATTGTGTATTTACTGTGATGTTTCAATATACCTAATGTAAAATTTATGTATATAAAATTTTGTATTATACAAGTAAGTGCGGCAATTTATTACTAAAAGTGTTATAATACTTTGTCAATTCTTTGTGCATATTTACTCTGGATGTGTCTTTCTGGCATATTTGCTTTAGTTTTATGTGAAGTTAAAACAATTGGTTCTTATTGAAAAATTAAATTATTTATATAATGAAAAGCTGTAATAAATTTGTGGTTGACAACTTGCTTATAATTAAATATGTTTACAGGCCGCACCTATATTGCACACCAAAGTTTATTCTACAGTTATTTTATTCTTTTATAATATTTTGTTAGAACTAATTATTTGTTTAATGAAATAATTTATGGTGTTGATAAAATGATTTTGGTACTAAATAGCTCATATAATAGGTTATGTTTTATGTCACTGCAAGTTTTTTATGATATGAAATATGTTTTTGCAATGAAATGTAATGACAATAATTTGCGCAATTTAACTTGGAAGTAAATGATTGATATACTATTTTAGCTTCTGTAAGTGATGAGTGCCATGGAAAAGGCTAAAGCCTATATAAAACAACAGTCACAACAGCAAGCCCAACCTCTGGGCCATTCGAATTCTATAACTACCCAATCTGCTATGACATTGACACATCCAACAGTTCTAAATCACCCTACTCCGCCGATAGATAATGAACAAATTTGTTATGTTTGTGGTTCTAAAAATCACAATGAAGAATTATATTTAAGAATAAAACCAAATCCAAATAATCCATCAGAGCCATACTTTCCTTTTCTGGAGAGTCATGAAACACCGCCGGGGTATAATAATTTGAACAATGGTAATGGCCTTGTTAGATCTTGTTTTTTATGTCATACTTTATTGAAACAACAATGGGATTGTTATGAGAGAGAAGGAAAACCACATTCTCAAAGGCTTTATTGGTTGAAGCGAGTTGATGGAAAAGGCTTTACTGGTAATAACATTATTATTTAATAAATAAATTTATCTAATTCTGTGAAAATCATCATACACTGTTATGTTTTTTTTGTAAGCAAGTGACACTTTCATTTTTTAATTCAGTATTGTATATTAAGTTATTAGTTAGTATATTGCTAATTATTTCATTAAGTTTCAAATAATTAATATTGGCAACATTTTCTGTATTAATAAATTTTAATTAGTGGACTGGAGCGTTCTTAAGCTTATTCTCTTTTGAAATATATAAAATCATAAATTGCCATTATTCATAAAATTAACATTTTATTATTATTATTATTATTTTTAAGGCGCTGAAATGAATCTGCAAGGAGAATATGCAGCACAAGTTTTAGGTTTGAGTAGTGAAAATCTAGTTCATCAAAGTTCTGTGTCTCACTCCTTAAGTAATAATTCACATAGAGTTCCAAGTCGTGAAGAATCTTTTCCTCAAGTATCTACTGCACATAATGACAAATCAAGGCCGACATCTCGGAATGATGCTTATAGGTAAATTTTATTAGTAAAATAATGTATACTCTCGATTATTATTCTTTGTTTCTTATATTTAACCAAAACTCTTTGAAACAATTGAAACTAATTTGTTGAATCTAATAATTGAAAATAATCTATTTTGATTGATGTTTTTTGTATTTTTCTTTGACAGATATGAACAACCTCGACCATTATCACAGAATGAACCAGCTAGTTACATGGGCCCAGAGCAATATAGACAAGAACTCAGAGTTGCATCTGCAGATAATATTTATCAAAGAAATGATGGACGACCCAATTCTTCTGGCAATGATCTTGCTTATCGCAATGCTATTTCCCCACATGCAACTGTAAATGAACAGTACCAACACAGATTACCTCCAACTGTTTCAAGGCCTAGTGACAATAGTAGACCCCAATCTCGAGAAAATAAATTGCCAAAACCACATTCGAGGCCTTTATCTCGGGAGAATGTAACAAATCTCTCTGTAATATCAACTCAAAGGAATAATTCTTATGATTTTATACCTAAGTTATCTTTTACACAACTAAAGCATAAACTGCCGCCTAATTTGCAACAGCCTCAAGTACCTGCTGATAAATTAGCCCATAGATCTCCTGATAAGGTAACTAATAGCCAAGGGGGAGATTCGGCTTTAGACTTAAGAAATGTGATACGAGCACCACCTGCCAATCCATCTGCCACACCTCCAGCTGTAGTAACAACTACTACTTCTGGTGCTGATATTCTAGATTTATCTATGCCCGATAAAAATTCTGTAACAGAGGTTTGTTATGTATGTGGGGACGAATATCGAAGAGGATCGTTGAATGAATTAAGCACAAGAGAACCTAGAAATAATACTCCACAGCGGTAAGATTTTTGCATGATTTGATTTTATACAAATATTCAAATTCTCCAAATATTATTGCAACTTTATTATTTTTGCCATTATTTTTGCCTGCCTTTGTAATGATTATCAATATTTGAGTTAGTTTGGTCAAATTTTATGATAATTATTCTGTAAGGTGATGATTTATTATCTTCATCTGCAAACATAAACACTAGTGCAAATGCTCTTATTTACATTAATTTTAAATCTTTCTTTCGAAATACATAATTTTAATTACCGGAAATATGAAATTTTAATAAATAATTTTGTTTTTGTATTAGGGGTCAACCTTATTTTCCAATTTTTGGGGAAACTCATCCACGCCCGCCGAGATCGAGGCCTAAAGATCCACGAGGTCTTATACAAGCTTGTACCCCTTGTGTTCAACATCTAATGCAGCAATGGAATGCATTTGTTGTGAGTTATAAAACTAATTTTGCATTTTATTATAAATATAGTCTACCATTATTCCATATATTCATACATTTATAAGTACAATGTAACTTTCATTGCAATAAGTAAATTAACAATAATTTTAGTTCAGCAACATTAATAATAAATCTTTGTTTTTCTAGTAGTTTGTTACATTACTTTATATTGAAATTATGAATTTAACTACAATTTTGTTACCAATTAATATTATGTTCCAGGTGCGAGGCGTTTCTGAATCAGAACGGCGTTATACATTAAGAAAACCTGCAGTGCCTGTGACAGAGAGAGCAGCCTTTGTATGTTATACTTGTGGTGTAGACAGTCCTAGTTCTTCATTACGACTTGTTTATTGTTGTGCCAATCCTGAACGGGAACCTTATTTTCCTTTTATTAACAATTTGAAGCCATTCCAAAATGCCAGCCCAATCAGTCCACAAGGTAAAAAGTTGTATATATGTGTTTATATATATACATACATAGATATATAGATATGATAATATTTTTTCACATGATTTGTGATCGTTTATGGATATATCATATTGAAATTGTGTCAAAATTTGATATATAATTATATATTCTGGCAAACACAATTTGCAGATTCTACATTTTTGTTTTATTATTTTTTTCAGGTATGGTACAGATATGTTCTTCTTGTAATACTAAATATCAAAATATGGCAGAAGGTGGTGATAACGCTTCGGGACCAAGGTCACCAGCTTCTAATAAATCACAAGCTGCATCAGATTCAAGTCATGTCAGGTAACTAGTTCAATATTTAAAACCCCTTATATATTAATGTTTATGAATGCATATATCTATAATTATACATACAAACAAATGAAAGCATTTGAATTTATCATATTTTAGCGCAATATTTCATTACTCATTAAAATATGTTTATTATTCATCTGCACTAAAAACTAAAGAAATGATTATGCGACAAAGAACAAACTTGTATTCTCATAATTTTTTGCATTTTATGATAATTATTTATGTCTTGCAGGTTTAAGCCTTATGAATCTGGAAAACCTGTGAGGAAAGATGATCGAATAAATAGCAGACCACATTCTCCACAGCAATTTCAAGCTATTGAGAATGGCAATGGCCATTATAGGTAAAATTAATTTATTTTCTGGATTGATAATTTTTTCTGAAACCTTTATTTTTTTTTATATATCTAGTACATATCCATTTAATATTTTATATTATATAAATTTTTTTTATAGATGTTATATTTGTGCCGGATCATATCCTTCATCATCAATGGAATGGTTGTCAACAACAGCTGAATATATGAATTCGCATGCTATGCATTTTCCATGTTTGCGTGGTCCAGAAAGTGGATCTCAATCTCGTGTTTTGGCTTGTTCACGATGTGTTCAACATTTGGCTAGACAATGGGAGAGTATGGATGCTGATAGAGTTCCATTGGAGCACAGAAGGTTAGTTGAAGAAAATAGTCAAACAATTTTTAAATATCTGTAATATTTATTTATTGGGTCAGAATTTATTATAGTCATAATTTAAATGATTGAAATAATTATTATTACTATAAACTATTAAAAATAATTGATCTGTTCTGCACGATTTTACTTTGTTTTGGAATATATTTTTCAACTTAAATAATTCAATTTCAGGTACAATATTCCATCACCACTCCCAAGCAGCTCAAGTCACAATGGAGATTTAAAAGAGCGAGGCGGAATTCCAACACCTCCTTCTACTGCATCCGTCAGCAGTAGCGCTGCCTGCACATCTATATACTGCTTTCTTTGTGGTCTACATTCTGATCTTACATTGGCTCGTGTTCTCTATGCTAAACCTCAGGTAAAAGCAAATTTGAATCATTGCAATACATGTTTTAAATTGCAAGTGAAATTTAATTTAATAATATATTTACATTTTTATTATTCTGTTTATATACTTATATTCCGTTTTTTTTACAGGGTTCGGCGCCTTACTTTCCTCACTTACTTACACACCAAGGTTTGCCAAACGCTGAACAGCTTCGGCCTGATGGTAGTGCTTTAGTTTGTACGTTTTGTTATCATACATTGTTGAGTCAATGGAAAAGGTAATTTTTCATTTAAATTTTTATGCATTACTATTTATTTATTTATCTCATATGATATAGTATAAATTTTATTTTTTATATTACTTGTATATCTTTATTCTACAATGAAAAATATGCATTTTGGGAAAATGTAAAACATATAAATATACATTTGAATATTGGTTCAGATATGTGATAACATAATTGTTTTTTTTTGTTGAGTAGATTTGAATCACTAAATCAGCAGTCGCCTAGAGAGTACAATTGTCATGATTATCGATGTCATCTTTGTGGCATCACTACATATCGAAAACGGGTGCGAGCTCTACCAATGCGAGAATTTCCGTTTCTGTCACAGCGACGATGTGAAGGCGCCCTGCTTTTAGAAAACGGGGAATTTGCGGTGGTGTGTTTGGATTGTTACGAAAGTCTCAGGTTTGTGATATTATTAAGATGGAATTATATTATATAGAGGTACTCCGACATACTAGTTTATTTCGTTCGCTCGCGTATCGAATTGCTCGTATTTCGAAGCAATTTTTTCCATATAAATACAATGAAATGCCATTAATTTGTTCATTAATGTAAAGTGACAATGATTTTATTGAATGTAATGAAAATGTAATTTGCTGACATATTACAACAAAAATGTTCAGTATGAATCATTTAAATATACATTTTACTACATTTTATTTATACAATAGATTAATGACAGGAATTAATTCATTAATTTCAGAACACAAGCTGCTGATTACGACCGCTGGGGTGTTCCGCCTGAGAAAAGAGAATATAATTGGGTACCTCAACCACCACCACCTGAAGATAGTGCAGATGTAGCAGTTGCAAGGTTACCAAGTGGTGAAAGATCTGATAAAGTGGTCAGTATAATGCTCTAAATTTTGACTCGCAAATATTGACTTCATATAACTTTGAACAATCATTTAATTATAGGCTCCAGCGCCCATAAGGCCAATTCGTAAAAACTGTTCACCAAAGCATGGGATCAATGATAAATCTGCTATTAGCGACAAACAATACTCCAGTGATAAGAAGAATACTAATAGGACTTTTGGTTCACCAGCTGATGCAGGTGAGTCTAGCAATTTATAGAGCTAGTAGTAGTATCATGATTAATGTGTACAATAGGCGAAATTACAAGGTCTTCAGTACGTTAAATTATATAATTATTGAAATTCATTTCCGATTTGTTTTTAACATAATAGATAATACTAAGTGTAATAAGGAAATCGAAAAGAATGCATATAACAAATTGATTAAGAAACATGTGTGTGTGAAATATTATTTAATTTTATGGAATATTGTGGTTACAGATATTTTTTAGCAGCTGTGCTTTGAAAATATAAAAACTTCTAAATGAAGAAATATTTAAATTTAAGATGTACATTCAAATTTTATCTAAATATTTGTAGCCGCGTCAAATATGATTCTCTCAATAAGCTTTAGCTTACGTGCGTTTAAAAAAGTTTAGAATCTAAATACATACGCAGTTCCAAAAGCCTCTCGGATGTTGTTTGAAGATGTACAGAGACTTGAACAATTCGAAAAAATTTAAGAATGAGGATATATTTTTTAAATTAATATTTATTTGAAATGCTGATTTTGAGTTTTACAATAGTTTATCGGGCCTTTATTGGTTTTGTGTTTGATTCCGCTGCTGAAACTTACATGTAATTTTTTTATCATAAGGCTTTAGATTAAATAATACTTTTTATTACCGCGCTGACCTTTATGATTTAAAATAAGTAAATTGGAACAACGAAAGCAATATACGTAATCAAAGTTCCATTAAATGCGTCTGAATCGTTTTTGTAACGTTTTTAGTTACCTCTGTCCATTTTTACCGCCCCCAACTGTTTTCTACGTCATCGACGACGAATAATACTTCCCCTTATTTGTAACGGAGAAGGGAGCATTAACAATTTAGTAATCCCTTATGAGGACAGAACAAAGAAATATTAGTAAATCGCTGGTGGAAATGAGTGTATTAAAGAAACGAGAGATGTGTCAGAAGGCGCGCGCGCACTCAACAATGATGCACGACGCTTTGGAACAGACTTGATAGACTAAAATTTCGGAACAAAATTTGGTTTTAGTTAAAACTGCTAGTGTATGGCATTATTCCTTGAATTGTTGGAACTTCCTTAACATATTTTTTATAAGCTTTAATATTCATTGAATATTTTGAAAAAAAAATTTTTTTGAGAGTTTGGAAATTGGTTGAAAAATGTTTTTTTTTTTTATATTTCAAAATTTCGACGGATAAACATTATAAATCTTGCTATGGAACTCATAGAAATGTAAACAACATTAATACTTATTATTAAAATCTCTATATAATATCTGACAATTTGATGTGTTTAATGATATTTGACTGCCAAATGACATTTTTTAAATTTTTTCTATTAGATCTCCGAAACTGCTGGACCTGTCCTGATTTTTTTTTTAATCTAGTTTTTTTTTAACATTTCAAACTTTCTACGGATAAACATTATAAATTTTGCTATTGAACTCATAGAAATGTAAACAACATTAATACTTATTATTAAAATCTCTATATAATATCTGACAATTTGATGTGTTTAATGATATTTGACTGCCAAATGACATTTTTTAAATTTTTTCTATTAGATCTCCGAAACTGCTGGAACTGTCCTATTTTTTTTTTTAATTTAGTTTTTTTTAACATTTCAAACTTTCTACGGATAAACATTATAAATCTTACTATTGAACTCATAGAAATGTAAACAACATTAATACTTATTATTAAAATCTCTATATAATATCTGACAATTTGATGTGTTTAATGATATTTGACTGCCAAATGACATTTTTTAAATTTTTTCTATTAGATCTCCGAAACTGCTAGAACTGTCCTATTTTTTTTTTTAAATCTAGTTTTTTTTTAACATTTCAAACTTTCTACGGATAAACATTATAAATCTTGCTGTTGAACTCATAGAAATGTAAACAACATTTGTACTTATTATTAAAATCTCTATATAATATCTGACAATTTGATGTGTTTAATGATATTTGACTGCCAAATGACATTTTTTAAATTTTTTCTATTGGATCTCCGAAACTGCTGGACCTGCCTTTTCCAAAATTTAATCAATTTTTCATATCGTCAATGAAAGTGAAATATTTTTTGAATCATTCAAATTGGATAGGTACTCCGCTCTCTCAAAAACTGAATTGCCATTTTTGCCTTGTATCTTCGAAACGATTTGACCTGATTTTGACAAAAACTAAGCAGCACGTCTCCCAATTAATAGAAATCGAATGCTTCTGGAATAACTTAAATCAGTTGATCATGACAAATTATTCAGAAACCTTTGCAACATAAAGATATTTCAAATTAAAAACATTAAATTTAAGACGTCTATTATGTTAAAGAATGGAATGTGTACTCGATGCAATCGGGCTTTAAAAAGTTCGTGCGAATATTTATCTAATAATTTTGTAATATTTGTATATTTGCACCTGTTGGTTGATTCACCTATTTGTTTCTGCACGGTTATTAATAATTTTGTGAAATCGTGCACGATTATTAATAAATTTGTGGATAATTTTGAACGTTTTTGAAATTCATAGGTACGTAATGCTCTCATTTTAATTACTCAAGAAATTAATTTTTGTTCCATTGAAATATTGAAGAGGTTACAATAGGATTTCTGTTAATATTAAAATATTTCAAATGTTCATTAAAGATTATTGAAACGATAAAATACTGGGTAATAATATTTAACTTCCCGTAGGGCAAAATTACTATCGCAAAAAAATCGAAAATGAAAATTTTTGCATTTCTCGACGTTTCAAAGGTTTCTGAATATTTTGGCATACCTTAGAAAAAATGGATGTGTGTGTGTGTGTGCGCGTGTGTATGTATATGCGGATACAAATTTTCGTCGACGATTTCGGGAACACCGATCAACCGATTTGAATAATTTAAAAAACATTCGATTCGTATTGATAAGGACACGTGCTGATTAGTTTTTGGCGAAGTCAGGTCTAGCCGTTCCGAAGATACGGGGCAAAAAGTGCCGAAAACGGTAACTCAGTTTTTAAGAGAACGGAGCGTCCGATTTTAATAATTCAAAAAACATTTTACTTGTATTGACAAGGTGAAGAACCGATCAAATTTTCATAAAGGCAGGTCTAGCGGTTTCGGAGATCTAATGAAAAAAGTAAAAAAAAGCCATTTGGCGGTCAAAAATGATCATTAGACATATGCACATCAATTTATCAGATATTTTAACAATAAGTATAATTTTGGTTTACATTCCTATGGGTTCCGTACCAATGTTTACGCGTTAGACGTCGACGCTGCGCTTACGCGGTTTGATATTTCGTCTTTATGCAGTTAAAGCAGTACATTTGCTTTGAAAAAAAGTTTAGATCTTTCAAAATATGTCAAAATAAACAAAACATTTTTTTCAAAAAAGAAAAAATTAAAAAAAAAATAATAAAAAAAAAGTAAAGTTTTGTCTAATTGTTTGTCAAAAATCTTATTTTTTCGAAGTAATTTTTTTTCAAAAAATAATAATTTTTGGTACGGGAAGTTCCAGCAATTTGCCTTAAGGCACGATGCCTTAATTGCCTTAAGACAGAATTCCACTTACAGCTAGTTCTGTAAAAAGATCGAGCGCATCGTATATATCAAATAATCTTCCGTTCTCCGGTTCTCCCGTTTCGGAAAATTCTCTCCCACAAGCCGTTCTTTGTTCTTGCATGATTCAGAGCAGTTTAGAGCTTCCGTACAAACACAATAACGTGCGCGTCAGTATGTCCTTAAGGGTGGCCGCGTGATGTTCCGTCGTCGATCCGCGTGACTTCCCTAACGAACGACTAATTAATTATTATTAAACATCTTGAATTATTAATCCCTTGAATTTGGATCAATATTTACTTTTGAACGTTATTATTCTGGGATATTCAAATATTACCATCATAGTGAATTTCGATAAACTCAGTGGGGCTTACGTGTGTGAAATTCTGTTTCGTGATCGCGGTTATATGTGATGTTAAGTGAATGATCGCGCGATAGTGTCGTAGCTTTATGTTGGCGTAGATTCGTGTTAACAATGGTTTCAGGCGTTTCGCTACGCTTGTTATCGGTAAATACATGAACGGTAGAAAAACGTAGTCGCTGGATTTTATTTTAGATGCAGGTGTAATAATTGATATCTTTGGATTCACACTTTTTTGCGTTTAGGTGCTTATGAATAAATAAAATAACCAGTGGTGCATGACCTTAAGGCAAATTGTTGGAACTTCCAGTACCGTTATTAAGCATTTGAAAAATCATATGAATCAATATTCAATAAGGATTGATCAATGATTAATAACTATTGTTTTAAATATTTTTAAATACGTTATTATGAATACTATATCATTTATTTTTTGCCTTTTTGAACAAAATATAAGACCTTATATATTAGAAGACTTTAAATAAGGAAAGTAAATAAACAGAATCTAATCAAGCCGGGTTGGAATGATGGGTCTTATTTCATATTTCTTAGAACCTAGCTTCAGCTGAATTACGAAGTTAAAATAATTTATTTCAACTATATAATGGGGCTTTAAAACTTTAGATAGAATTAAAATAAAATACAAATCATTTTCGATATTTTTTTAAGAAAGAATTTTTTTGAAGTTTTGAAATTTTTTTTTCCTTCAAATTTTAAATCAGCTGGACTTGCTTTCCTCAAAATCTGATCATGCCTTCACACCTTCATCACAAGCAAAATGTTTTCATTGTAATAGAACGCAAAGTTTTTGCGATTAGTATAACTTACCCTACGGTAAATTATTATTTTTGTCCACATTTTGCAGAGCTCTTAGTATTACATTTATCTTATTTTAACATTTAATTTTATATACGGATCTGTGTTACAAATTAAAACGAATTTACACACATAAATGTTTTATATTTTGGAAGGCGATGATAATGAATAAAATTCAAAACGGTTTAAACTAAATATATCTAATTGTTCAACAATTAAGGTTTAATCTAAGGAAATCCTAAAGCAAGTATCAAAGAGAAACAAGTAATTTACTACTCCAATA